GGCACCAAATCGCCGAAATACACACTCTTCGTACGATTCCGCAACCGCCTGGGCAGATCGGGACGAGCTGGCTTTCGCGATCACATATCCTATGAACAGATCGACCCAGATCAATAACTCGGTATTTCCCTTATGGAATCTGGGTACCGACGGTATGTGATCCATCGCAATGATCTGGAACGGGCACATCGCCTGCAAGTTCTCCGGTGATTCACCCCGGATCACAGCTTTTCCTTTCCCGTTTCGCGGTCCACGCAATCCCCCACATATCACTGAACGCTCCGATATAATCCTCTCCAATGGAAGTGATCCCTGATCCGCTGGTAGGTACGCCCCACTCCCTGATGTCCTCCTTCCCACGTGGTGTGATAGTGAACGTAGTGTGATATGTCCGATTGCAGCGTTTCGGGAACTACCAATCTCAGCAATCGATCGCGATCGTCCCCCGATCTCGGCGTGGGAGGGCAGTAAAAGAGTAGATCCTGCTCATCGACCTCATACTCGGTTGCGATCTTGCCGTACGATCTCGCTTCCGCTTGTGTGAAATATGCGATCGCGCCACTCAAATACTTCTTCATGCCTGCGATCCAGACTTCCTCCTCCTGGGGCTTCTTGATCCGATCGACCCGCATCTCCCGGATCAGATCCTCTTGCATGACAACCGCAGGTGATCTCGCTACCAGCTCGAGTGGTTACCGCTGCAACTCGCACCACTGGGTTCTCGGTCCTGGGAATCAAGATTTCGTCTAACCGATTCAGAGTGATCAAATCCGCCGGGCACCTCCTGGACCTCGATCCACCCTTGTCGTTGCAAAGCGGCGCTCACTAGACTGTCGGCACTCCCGTTCCAGTCCCTCTTGACATACACCAACTCATGATCACTCCATTTCCTCAGGCGATCGAGGGCCTTCCGCTTCAATAGCGTCAGTCCGGGCGCTTTGCAATCGATCTCGCCCCGTACTTGTCGGATTACTAAGTTGGAATCACCGCAGACCACCAGGCGTTTGCGATCCAGGTCCTCTAGCATGTCGAGTCCCAGGATCAGGCCGTTATATTCGGCTTCGTTCACGGTGAGGCTCTCGAGATAGCCTGATCTGGCCTTGACCACCTCCCATCCGGGCAGACACCACACTATCGCGCCGAACGCGCCCCCACCACGCTTAACCCGTGCGGATCCGTCAAAGCTGATCACCCATAGTTCCTCGTCTCGATCTACGGTGGGTATCGGTGCTTGGATCCGGCGTTTAGGTTCTTTCCGGGGGACGATTTCGGTCAGTGCGTCGTCGATCTTCGCCCTCGGCGTGATGCTAGCAGCGATCACCCCCAGTATCTCATCTTCACCCTTCGTGCACTTCGTGATTTTAAGTGTCCATGGGGCCAGGAGGGCAGACCATTGTCCCAGGCGACCCTGCAACCCCGTCGACTTGAACAGCCAGGCCAACGTAGAATGCCTCGTCAGGACCCGGCCCTACTAGCAAGTTGTAATAGAGATCCAAGATCCTCAGCAGTACCAACACCTCCTTCTCAGTCACATCGTAATTCAACTCGTTCGTCTTCAAGGTGCGACTTGCGAACGTCACCGGATGATAGATCCTGTCGTGTTCTTGCGTCAACGAGGCGGATATCGCCCAATCGCTAGCATATACGATAACTACCGGCGTTCTCGCCTCGTCGAAATGGCGGAGGATTGGGGTAGTCGCGATCCTAGTTTTCAGGGTGATGAAGTCCCTATGCGCCCTGATCCACCTCTCGTCCACTGGTCCCGTCAACTTCAGTTCCGGTGGGCCGTGATCACGAGGAATCGAGTCGTTCCGGTCCATGATCTTCCTCAGATCCGATCGTTTCTCCAGTTCTGCGAACTCAACTTCTCGTAATTCGTAGAGTACCGAAGCATAGATCGCGTAGTCTTCGATGAATCGGCTGTAGTAATTTAGACTGCCCAGGAACGACTGCATAGACCGCAGAGATCCGGGGAACGGCAGATCGGTCAACGATTTCAGGTCTTTCGGGATCGTCTCCAAACCTCCGATCAAAACTCGGTGTTCCAGATATCCTACCTTATCCATGCCCCAAAAGCTCTTGGCTACGCTGATCGACAAATTCTACTTGTCACAAGCTTCCAAAAGATCCTCTACTCGTCGGCACATTTGATCCCACGATTCCGCTGCGATCATGATGTCGTCGATGTATGATCTCCGTCCCAACACTGAGTCCCGATCAGGATCGTACGCGATCCCGGTCTGGAACACGTCCGTTGTGGTTTCAGCATCGCCTGATGGCGAGATCTTCAAAAAATCCATTCAACGCGTTGTCTATGCGGCGTTGATAAATCTGCGGGGCATTCGTTAGACCCAAAGGCATGCGACCCCATTTGAATAGTTCAAACGGAGTGATAAATGCTGAGATCTCGCGAGCCCGATCCGTCATGGGCCCGACCCAGAAGCCGCTGACCATATCTAGCGAGCAGTACCATAGTGCTTTATCCAGATCTTCTAGCAGATCGCTGA